TGACGGTAATAGACCCACATTCATTACTAGAGTCAGAGATGAAGTCCTAGATATCACCCTCAGCAATAAATCTGGTATCGCAGTGGATGGTGTCCTCAGAGCCGTTCCTGTCGGACCACAGGATCATACAGTTTGTTACGGGGGCTGGTACGAAAGAATGAAGACCCAAACGAAACCCCAGGAAAACAAACTGGGGACAATACAGTAAAGTGATTGAAGCGAATCTGCAGAATTTAGATCGTAAAAGCAGAGCATCGGATTGTATGGAGTTAGAGGATAGAGGAAATAAACTGAACGTTGCCATAATAGACGCATTCAATAGTAGCTGTAGGGAGAACAGACCCAAAAACCACTCTAGAACTCCGCGGTGGTCCCGCAACCCATGAACCAAAAAGACAAGATCACGACAGCAGAAGAGTGGCCCGTTATAATCGCACTTATGAAAAAAGTAGGGCGATTTTGACATAAGCCGTTTGTTTACATTTGTTCGTTGTTTACAATTTGGTGGTGGCTTTTTACTGCAATTTTCTTAATTTTCGCTTGTGACAACGTGTGCACACATAAGGTAAAGAATAATTTAACACAACGACATGATTTATAGGAGAATTTGCATAATAAAAATGATTATTCATGCGTTCAACAATTACGCGTTTTTTTTTGTTCTCTTCGTTGTTTACTTCTTACAACAAAGATGGCGTCGAGATTTCAACAGCTAGAAAATAACTTTTTTCTTTCTTTCCTTAAGGCGTGATCTTGTGTCTTTCGTTCATGCCGCAACCTCTCAGCACTCAGGAAGGTCGTGCGAAAGCAATTCAATATAGCCAAGGTGACTGGGTGCTGGGAGGGTTACGGAGCCAGCCTAACTTCATAAAATAAATAGATAAGGAAAGCGAAGAGGGAAAACTTCAGAAGCTTTTGTGAAAACATTACATCCACTCCTGTAACAGCAAGACTTCATAAGGCCCTAGCAAAAGACAGGTTAAGAGACCCAACTATCAATCAAACTGCCGGACGGCACTTACACTGGCAGCGAAGTTGAACGAGCACACGCTCTACTCTCTGTGCATTTTCCGGAGTCATCCAACCTGACTATGGAGGGAACTGATCGAACATTTAGGCTAACCCCAGGTTATAAGGACACTGCGAGGAGCATATTCTCACGAGCCAAAGGCAAATGGGCGTTGGGCTTATTTGACCGATACAAGTCCCCGGGAATGGACTGGATCTATCCAGCTTTACTGCAAGCGAGAGAAGATCTAGTTACCGCACATCTAGTAGAATTAATGAAGGATAGCCTAGCCCTAGCCTACATTCCAATAGTGTGGAGAAGAGCTCGGGTAACATTTATACCCAAGATAGGCAAAAAGGACTACTCCTCATCTAAACCTTTCAGACCAATAAGTTTATCCTCTTTTGTACTAAAGACGATGGAGAAACTTTTTGAAAATGAAATCCGATCAAACACTCTGGAAGTTAGCCCGCTACACAGTAGCCAACACGCGTATAGAGCAGGACGATCTACGGAAACAGCCCTTTATCAGCTAACTACAGAAATCCAAAGTGCGTTTGAATCTGGGGGAGGCGTTCTCTGTGCCTTCGTTGACATAAAAGGAGCCTTCGACAACACCTCGCATGAAGCGGTAGGGCAGGCACTAGAGAAAAGAGGAGTACAAGTACCTATTCGCAGGTGGATAGAAGCGCTGTTGCACACAAGAATAGCAGAGACCACAATAAGGAATAAATCTTTGCAAATAAAAACCACGAAAGGGTGTCCACATCACCCCTTCTTTAAAGCCTTGTAGTAGATGAAGTCTTGCAAAAGCTATCAGATAATGGAATCCGATGCCAAGGCTATGCGGATTACATCGTCATAATAGCAAGAGGAAAGTGCGAGAACACCCTCTGTGACATAGTCCACAGGGCCCTAAGAATAACAAAGAAATGGTGTGTGGATAAGGGTCTTAAAATTAACCCATCAAAAACTTCGATTATCCCATTCACAAGAAGAAGAACCCTACCGGGAATGAGAACTATAGCTCTTGATGGCGCGGAAGTCGGCGTCGTCTTGTAATTGAGATACTTGGGCATCTCGCGCGACGCTAAACTCTCATGGAAGAAACACGTCGATGTGACGACGCAATAAAAGCGCTAATGGTATGCAAACACCTGGTGGGAAAATCTTGGGGCTGTAGCCCTCGGATTTTCAGATGGAAGTATACCATGATAGNGCGGAAGTCGGCGTCGTCTTGTAATTGAGATACTTGGGCATCTCGCGCGACGCTAAACTCTCATGGAAGAAACACGTCGATGTGACGACATCCAGAGCAATAAAAGCGCTAATGGTATGCAAACACCTGGTGGGAAAATCTTGGGGCTGTAGCCCTCGGATTTTCAGATGGAAGTATACCATCAAGCCCATGATAACGTATGGGCCAGTGGCCTGAGGCTCGAGAGCCAACCTAGCGACTGTGAGGTGCTCCCTCACAAGACTACAACGACTTGCATGTGTGTGCATCACAGGCGCAATGTGCACCTGTCCAACAGCAGAACTGAAGGTTATTCTCGAGCTCACGCCCCTGCACATTAGTATAGAACAGGCAGCCAAACGATCCATAATTAATTTCATCAGGGAGGGTTTTGGAAGAGGAAAAGTGGTAGCATCTCGAAATATGGATTCTCTCAAGACCCAACTGCCCCTGACTCAACTCCCACAAGGTTATATCTGCAGAATCATTAGTTTCAAAAGAAAATTCAAAGTATAATTAGGGAATAAGGCAAGCTGGAATGACATCTTCTTCTTCTTTATTTCTCTTCTGTGCTAACTGACGCCAATTGGAAATGCCAAGTGAAGCCAAGTCCTTCTCCACCTGGTCTTTCCAACGCAGAGGAGGCCTTCCTCTTCCTCTGTTACCAGCATCGCGGCCCGCGTTGAATATTTTCAGAGCAGGAGCGTTTCTGTCTTTTCACCCCTCACTCTCAGAATCGACCTAACTTTTGCTAACCTGAATTTGTTCCACAGTGTAAGCAAAGAAAAAGTAAATCCGCATTTTCACCCTCTTAAATATATCGCAGTGAAGAAATATCAAGTTTTGTAATTATTTTTGTCAATTTGCTTGCGTATTTGCATATAATTCAGTAGATCGGCAAATGAGGCATTTCATGTCACCGCGGCCACCTCTGTGCGCGACTTCTCAGGATTTGGATGAAAGTTGAAGATATTGGAGGCCTAGGTGACGTGAATATACATGTAGCATATTTTGCCGATATGACTTAGGGTTGCCTATTTACACGGAACTTAAATTTTAAGAAAACGTCATACATACCTTTCTTTAAAGTGCTGTATCTTGGAAACCTTTTAACGAAACTTGATGAAAAGAAGGATTTCTTCTGTCTTATTATGAGCTTTTATTGTACATTTTTTACATTAATGTGCAGCGTGTTTGATTTTTTTTTATTATTGCATTTTAAAAAATTTGTATTTTTACATAAAAACATTGTCTATAATGTTAACTTTAAGTACCCAAATGGGCGTAATAGGCTACTTATGCGTATGGACTCTAGATCGTCTAACGCTCGAGCAATATGATAAATAGGCATTGAAATTTTATGAAATTGCATGTTCATACACCCGAAGCCCTCTATTAATGGGGTGCTGTATGTTTCCAATGGGATGCTTGTAAAAAATAACTGCAACTATCTTTTCAGTGGACTTTATTTCGACTATGACTACGTGCCATTACTTTAATCCTATTTGAAGCTAGTTTAAAAGATTAAATAACACCAAGTTAGGGAACTCCATATCCTCATTTAACGAATCTTTAAATCAGAGGTGGGCAGCTTCGACAGAGAATTTTTGTAGTGTGCGAGAAATTGATGTCACTGTGTGCGTGTGCAAACATTTCCANTTCCGTTCTTATTTGACGTTAGTTTTGTTGTTGCCATTCTTTGGACTAAAAATTTGGTTTTTTGCGTTCCTTTACTTTTCCTGTTATTCTCTTTTAGTGAGCGCATTCTGCTTACGCTCTGGCATTTTGACACTTTTCAGATTTTTGTCCAAAAAGGTAAGGAATGAACCTATTAGACCTCCAATGATAGCTTCAAGGTTAGTCCTTGTATTAAAACAAGAAAAAGGAAAGGGATTTAAAAGTGGTGTATTTGACAATTTTACCAGCTTTTACCCGAAAAGCGTTCCCGTACTTACCAATTGCAATGAGCAATTTTGCTTTTTGACCGTTTTACAGGTTTTGTCCAGAAAAGTTGAGGAAGGAAACTAATATGGGGTGTTCACAGTTCGTTCCAAATTGTGTCTGAAAATGTAGACGTTTACATTTTGAGACATCTTTAGCATCAAACTGTGAGCAGCCCTTTCTANGTTTTCCAATTTTGTATGGGAAACAACAACACCACAGATTTTACGGTTAGAAAACGTCTTAAAATGTAGACGTCTACATTTTGAGACACTATTTGGAACGAACTGTGAACACCCCAATAGTGAAAATACATAACGTCCATTGCGTCACCGCCACCTTCACCATCAGTTGTCAAAGTTGAATAGGCGTATTCGTATTAAGTCGGTTACATGAACAAAGCTGACGGTGACATTGACACACAAATTAGCTCAACTTTCAACTTCGCTTTTGCGTTAGCGTCAAGTGACAACTATTCTGTGTTTTGTTTAGGTATTTGAATAAAAAATTTTTCAGTTTGTGAAAATTTTTGGATTTATTGAAATAAGAAATGTAAAATATGATAAAAGAAAAGTAAAAGCGCAACTTTTGCAAAGAGTAGCAGCGAGTTTTTCATTTTATGGACGCAATGGTGAACGGATAGTGTGCAACTTTCCGCATAATCACCGTTGACGCTGACATTGACGGTGACGGTGCCGGTGGCGCAATGGACGTTGTGTACTTTCGCTTTAATTATTGCTTGCCGTACATTTTTAATTATTTTATTCCATCACTACTCTTAAACGCCATTCACTGAACATACCTCAATATGCATAAATTCCAATAGTCGCCCAATTTCACACTTTCCTAATTGCTTTTAGAATTTTACTTTTCTTATTAGAATAGCAAATGAAATTGTTTTCTGGTAGAAAATATGTGAACTCTTATTAATAAAATTGTTAAGATATAAAATAAGATTTGTATTAAAAGTTTCCTTAAATGCCTACGGAATATATGCTCAATGGAAGCGAGAAATAATGTTCAATCCCTATAAGCGAGCATAGTCATGGAGTCTTGAGTAATTTCACAGGTGTGCGTGCGACTCTTTGTATTTTCCGCCCATTCACTGGACTGGTTTTTGTTGTTGAATGCATTTGCTCAACCACAAGTGTGGGAATTTCTGAATAGTACGATTTGTAGAGTGCTAGGTGCCAAGCGACGGAAACAGCAATAATACCAAACGCAACGAATTCGGTGAGCATTAGTTGAATTGAGATGTATTGGTGGTGATCATTACTCAGTTTAGACATCGGAATGGAATGTGATGTGATCGGTTAAATGGTTTGCCAATAATAAAATAAGCGCAAATCTACTATCCTTGAAATAAATAGTTTGTGTATGGTCCAAAAAAGATCATTGCTGTCGATAATTTGTAAAAATTATGAAAAATTTTTGCAACTGCTAAATACAAAATTAATTATTAATACAAAGTTATATTGCCTGGGCATGGATGAGCATACGCTAAATGATTTACTTGAGTGCTCGGTTTGTTTGGAGCGTTTGGATACTTCATCCAAGGTACTGCCTTGCCAACACACCTTTTGTCGAAAATGTTTGGAGGTAATGCAATGAAATTTTATTCTCGTATATATACGCATGTATTAATTTTGTGAGCTCAATTTTAAGGTGATTGTGTCCAGTCGCCAAGAGCTTCGCTGTCCGGAGTGTCGAGTTTTGGTTGAGGTAAAAATAGACGATTTGCCACCTAATGTGCTCTTAATGCGGATACTAGAAGGTATGTACCAACCACATTCATGTTTTATTATTATGTTTTTTTTTGTAATATGTAACAATATATGTACATACATATTATTTATAAATAAACATATATACTTGATACAGCCTACGCGCGATACCATTGTTTTCGCCATGCATTAATATATTGAAACTACAGCAATAATATTTTCACGTCGACACCTATGAGACGTTGAGGGCCAGAGTATCGAAGTGCTAATTACCCGAGGCACGCCCTTTCAATTTTCTTAAAACGTCCACCAAAAGATTTCGCAAAAATATTAAGATTAACGTAAGCTGGACCGATTAGAAAACACCTCCAAAAATGGAGTTTTTATGATTAAAAATAGTTTCATAAATAACTTTTTGAAAAAATCCGCTCAGATGACAAAACAGATTAAGCTTAAAAAATCTGCATACAAATATTTTAAAACCTTTTCAACGGAATCGTAAAAGTGTGATTTTTGATGCTGTTTTTTACTTTAGACTTATGGGATCTCAGTAGAAAGGTATTTTCCCACTATTTTTATTTCTGTGGAAAAAATTCATTCGTGTCCCAATTTTATTTTATTTTTTTTTCAAATACCAACACATCTTAATTCAACTTTGGACAGATTCGTTCATCCTACGTTTCTCTTACATCCTTTGAATGAGTTTATTAGCAAAGAAATAAAAAGGGGTTAGAAAATACCTTTCCAATGATACTTCACAAGTCTAAATCGGAAGATTTAGATTCAGTTATTCAAGTTTTTCTTATACCGATGTTTCAAAAAAGTTGAAAAACAGCATCAAAAATCTCATTATTACGACGATTGTATATTTATGAGAAGCTGTTTTTCATGGCAGAAATACACTCAGAGATTTGCCATTTCCTGTCGAGGGGCGACCGGTGCTAAGAAAAAACCTTTCTATATTTTTTTTCGATGTTGCTTTGACCAGGGCTTGAACCCAGGCCCTGCGGAGTGGTAGCGCACACTGTTAATCACTACACAACAGCGGGCCCAATCTATATATGCATATTTAAAAACCTCATTTTCATCCCCTTTGCTGCATTACACCCAGAGTGTTTTAAATGTAATTGTTTGTTTACGTGTTTAAATCTAAAATNACAGCGGGCCCAATCTATATATGCATATTTAAAAACCTCATTTTCATCCCTTTTGCTGCATTACACCCAGANGTTTGTTTACGTGTTTAAATCTAAAATAAAAAAGTGGAATTTAACAAAGTAAAAGCTGAATACCTAATATGTACTTACAGGTATGAAAAATGCAGCGGCTGCTAAGTCGCAACAACAACAACAACACAATACGCATAACTCCAAATCAAGTGCAGATGTACGACATATCACCGATTGTAAACAGCAACAGCAAACACACTATCCTTTGCAACAATTGCAATATATCCAACAAAGGCAACATCATCACTCGCATTCAAGTCCACTGCCCCAACAGTCACAAGGACAATCAGTTACTGTTGGTATTAACCCAAGCGGCAGTGCTCAACAGCTCCCTCAACAACAATTGGCACAGCAGCGTCGTTGCATGCTGCCGCACGCTTACGCCCTGTATGATTTTGAGTCGTCCGAACCGTCGGACTTACATTTCAAAAAAGGTGATCTAGTGCTACTGATGCGAAAAATAGACACTAACTGGTATGTGGGCCAACTCAACAACGGCAATGGCGTTATTTCCGAAGGTACTTTTCCCATTAATCATGTCCAAGTTATTGTACCACTGCCATCACCTCAATGTGTTGCTTTATATGACTTTAAAATGCCACCGAATGAGGAACAAGGATGCCTTACATTTAAAAAAGGTACTGTAATACATGTGCTACGAAGGGTTGATCACAATTGGGCAGAAGGTTGTATTGGGAGTACAATTGGAATTTTTCCCATTGCCTTTGTTGAGCTGAATCCGTTGGCTAAACAAGTGCTCGAGGCGACTTACATAGTTGCCAATATACCAGCTTCATCGTCAACATTAACACTACCCGCATGCGGTACAGGCAAAGGAACTGCGCCGCAAGCCTCTGTTGCGCCCCATCCACCGTTAAGCCTGCTACGAAATCCACCACCCATGCCTGTAATTGATGTGAACAACAGTGATTCTACAACATCTTCATCTTCGCCATCTAATTCATCATCAAATGCAACTAGTCCGCATTCGGTCAATACAACAACAACGATAACATCAACAAATAGTCCTATAAATGCCAGCGGTGGAGGAAGCTCAGCTTCAATGCCCAACAGCCCGAATCAATCGTTACCAGCTTCGCCGCAACATGAAATTTCAAACAACAATGTCGTTACTGGTTCAAGTTCGGTCCGATTCCGTGATAAACGCGAAAAACGCCATTCGCTGAATGCGCTGCTATCAGGCAGCACGTTGCACTCAGGATTGGGAGCGGGAACCACGCTCAGCATATTGCAATCCAATCGCCATTCAGCCGAAATCCTAAGCGTACAAACTGATGCTTCCGCTTCTTCTGAAGTTGAAAATCTGCAAGCTGTGGGTGGTGGACAAGAAGCTGCCACCACAAGGTGCGCGGCAATGCCTCAAAGCACTTTCGCACGGGAACAGCAGCAACAGGCTCAGCACCAGGAACCGCAAATCCAGACGAAACCGGCTGAACAACGGGCAAACGTGCTAAAATCCAGCATCGTGCAACAACATGTGCCGCAAAGTTTGCCCTGGGGATATCTCGCGCTTTATCCATATAAGCCTCGTAAAAACGATGAACTGGAATTGAAGAAAGGTAAACTAAAAAATACTCATCAAATACAATACATTTCTCACTCTATGATTTTGTAAATTACAGGATGCGTTTACATAGTCACCGAGCGGTGTTTGGATGGCTGGTATAAAGGGAAGAACTGGCAGGACATCACCGGTGTGTTTCCGGGAAATTATGTAACACCATTACGAAGCCGCGACCAGCAACAATTGATGCATCAATGGAAGTATGTTCCACCACAATGCTCGCCAAATGCAACTCCCGCACCAAATGTATCTCTAGAAGTGCAGGCACAGGTTGCCATGTCTTCAGCTTCTCAGCGAATACAAAGCCTGCATCAGCCGCCGGACTTACCCCCACGACAGGTAAGTGGCACACTGCCAATTTCATCGGTTTGGACAAAGCCGCTCGGCCACACAGTGGAGGCATTCTTCAATCGATACAGCAAGACACACGATAATTTAAAAGATCACACCGGCAAAGAAAGAGAAGTCGCCAAGCAAAAAGAAAATACGCAGATGATGCTTTCAAATGTAGCTCCATCAGCGACTGTCGCCTCTTCATCAACCACATCTAGTGCTATGCAGCTAATGAAACGTTTAGCGCATATTAAATCACGTTCTAAGTCGCCAAGTAGTGTATTAGCACGTCAGCAGCAGAAAAGTCCACACTCTCAATTAGCCCACGACAAACCAAACTACGACGATTCCATGCAAAATAACAGTAAGAATGTTGGAGTTCATGTGACACAAAAAAATAACTCGCATATCAACTCTGTTGGCACCCACGGACAATTACATCCTGTGCATGTGCGGTAAGCATCCGGATTATATACTTTATGGTGGAACAACGTATACATCTGTAGCTTTTATATATCGGAATACTTATTCATATACATGCATATCCCTTTTGTTATTTTTCTCTGGCAGTTCCGGTTCGTGTCCTAGTCAGTTGTTGCAGAGTTTGCCGCTTGACCTAGCAGTTTCCACGTCAGCAGCTACAAGCTCAACAGCAATGACTCAAATCCAAGAAAACGCACAGAAAGCACCGACCCACTTTTCACAACAGAAACATCAGCAGCATATGCAGCAAATTTCGACACAGGCTGTGGGCTATGGATCACAACAGATGAGAGGTCCCAAAGAGCGTCCGCACTTGCAAAAGTAAGAACACGTTTCCAGTTTTAAAGCGCGTAATAAATATAAATTTCTCACTCCCTAGCGCTCGACAGTCTATTGATGCTGCCACATTGAGAAGCATTTATAACACAACAGTTGCTCAACAACAGTCGGTAAATGCACCAAAAGTGGCTAGCGAACAAAATCAACTTGTTTCAACAAAAAATATAATTGCAAATCATCGCAAGTCGCAAAGTCTAGATGCAGCAGCTGCATTATCTGGTATGAACACTGATTGCGGTGGAATTGTTAGTGGCGGTAATGGTGGAGGCGTTTCATTAGTAGCACCTTGTAATATAACAGCAGCTGCTGTTGCAGCAAGCGCTACCACCAAATCGACACAGTGTTCACGTGAAAGGTACGCCTATTTACTACTGCATCATGGCATTTTCTAATACAATTTTTATTATTATCCGCAGTCGCTTTCGTTGTGTTGTTCCCTATCCACCAAATAGCGAAATTGAGCTGGAATTGCAAGTTGGCGACATCATTTATGTGCAACGTCGGCAAAAAAATGGCTGGTATAAAGGTACACATGCGCGTACTAATAAAACAGGGCTATTTCCAGCATCATTCGTCGAACCCGATATATAAATATGAAATGAGTAGGTTCGTTTGTACTATATGACCTTTATTATTTTTATTAGAGTAGGCTCAATATTTTCCTTTACGATATATATAGCAAAATATGGCATTTATGGAAACGTTTGTTCAGGCAGGTTCTGCAATTCATTTCCGAGTAAATTTCAACCAAAGGCACTTTGAATTCAAATTGAATTGGATTGAAATTCACTCGGAAGTGAATCTCAGAACCTGCCTGATTTTAAGTTTCTATGTGAATGAGTAGATTTTATATTCGCAAAGATTAATTAAAACATCTAGTTAGAATAGAGTAATATGTATAATAGAATAATCAGTTTTAACTTAGATAACAACAGCTCTTCAAATCTGAAAAAAAGCACAATTGAAATCATATTTTTTTTTTATATAACTACTTTTCATTACCCTGCAAACCATTTTTTCAGGGTATTCTGATTGTAGAGAAATTTTGAAGGATTCATAAAGATCTCATCCGATTTTTTACCAAATTTTCTAAAATGAAATAAACTGTGCACACTCAGATTCTTTGGTTTGCAGGGTAGTGGTAAAAAATTTTACAAATTTAAAAAGTTGAATTGCTTAGTTTTTTTTATTTTCTGCCGTTATTGTGTTCTAAATTTTTTTAATATTTCTGGGTACTTCCTAATTTTATTTAGGTACTAAATGAAGTGATAAGTCGCTGGTCGATGACTACATACTAATTGTTCTTAGTTTTTGGAAAAAAACTTAAATATTGCAATAAGCTTTCAGAAAGTGGTTTTAATCAAATTTATGCTTTGCTCAAGGTAAAAGAAAAGACTTGCGTTAACTGCAATAATTGCCTTTAGCTTTATGTTGTCATTTTGTTTTGACAATATGTATGTAAATATATTGGTAGTAACGTGTTCAGCGTAATTAGAAAAGAATTAATGTTATTTTATTTTATCTATTATTTTACCATGGAAATGGTTTTTGTCTTCTCGTAGTAATTACGGGGGCTTTTATTTTTTCGACTCGCGGGACGTTTTTTTTTCAAGACGAAAATTATTTACATCTTATAATAACACAGGTCTGCAAAAAATGGGTTCGGAATGTTCTATAAAAGTGTAGTGTCATTTCCGAAGTAATTTTTTGCGTAGAATCAGGTTATGTAGCTACGAAGATTTTGCTCTTCATAAAAAAGTAAACGTGGTATTTTAAAGTATAAGTCTTTATAGTCTTTTTTTATCTTTATTTTTCACTGAGATATCGCATTTTGANATTTTTCACTGAGATATCGCATTTTGAAGTCTCCATGTTTGTGAATGTAATCGACCGTATCACGTCTCATGTTATCTCAATGGATTTTCGAATATCGAAAAATTCACAAACATGGAAACTTCAAAATGCGATATCTCAGTGAAAAATAAAGATATTTAAGCAAACTCAACGGCATTTAAAAGAGGAAGACTTATACTTTAAAATACCACGTTTACTTTTTTATGAAGAGCAAAATCTGCGTAGCTACATAACCTCAAAAATGGGCAAAAACAGCGTTTTTGCACTTTTAGGTTAGGATATCTCAAAATCCTGACGTGATAGAGCAATTTAAATCCCGGATTCGGATTCTACGCAAAAAATTACTTCGAAAATGACCCTACACTTTCCTAGAACAAAACGTTGTTGACCTGTGTAATTATATGGGACTTTTATTTTTTTCCGTATCGCGGGACATTTATTTTAAAACGAAAATGATTTACGTCTTTTCATAATAATTACATGGGACTTTTATATATTTTCGTCTCTCGGGACGTTTATTTCAAGAAAGTTTGGAGATTTAACGCGTTAAATATTTAACGCCACGATTGATCATGTCATAAAATCTGTATCGTTCGTTCGATTTTCAAAAAATGAGGTGTCAAATTAAAGGGCTTTGCTTTTACGTGGTTTTAGTTTTTTGAAAAGGGTTGCCGGATGTTAGCAAATCTAATTTCAATAATCGAGCTCGGGAATATTTGCGTTTATTTTCGTGAAATCGGCAGTTCATATACCAATTATATTAAGAAAAAACGTGCGACGTAAATCATTTTCGTCTTGAAATAAACTTCTCGAGAGACGAAAAAAATAAAAGTCGCATATAACTATTATGAAAAGACGTCAATCAATGACGTCTTAAAATAAACGTCCCGCGAGACGAAAAAAAAAATCCCTATAGTAAGTAAATATTACGTCCCGAGAGACGAGAAAAATAAAAATACCATATAATTATAAAAAAGACGGAAATAAATTCCATTTGAAAATAATCGTCCCGCGAGATGAAAAGATATTTCTCGTAAATAATTAGTATACAAAGACGAAAAAATTCTCTTAAAACAATTCTCCATCAATATTACAAAAATTACGTTTTTTTATTTGTGACAGTGTGACTAAACAGGCGATATGTATACATTATAACATAAAGTTCGCACAATTTCTGGCACACAATCAAGCACATTTAGATATTACTTTAAGACAGACTCATATAATAAAGCATTTTATTCGTAATTGCAAAAAAAAACACATTTTACTTAGTTAGATATGTATGCACAAGTAATCGAAGCACGACATGCATTCATACATATATATGTTGTATCATGAAGTACAATAATTTACATACATAATCAAATTCGTATTCCGGCACACCTCGTAAAAATTATATAACATGTCATTTCACTCTAAAACATATGTAGGTAATCCACCCATATTTGTACTTTACAGCTGTAACGCGCTCGAATAAGGATGAATCCTGCCATTTTTATAATACTTTTTATGTAACTTTATAAATACTTACACACATTTATACAAACAGATTTTTTAAATTTTTTGTACAATCATTAAATGTGAAATACTACTTAAATGAAAGGCTTATGGTTAGATTTTTTATTAAAAGAATTTTAAATAAAAGCGTTTACTAACTACAAAAAATTAGCTTTTATTTTTATATAACAAATGCTAGATTTGCAGTTAAGTGAAGACTAGGCAAGTGAAAAACTTTTATCTCTTATCAAAAGTACCTATTCATATGTATACAAAAACAAATCGAAATCAATAAAGTGCCGGGAAAGAGTAGTTGTGGTTGTTGTAGCGGCTACAACAACCCCGCCCAGATCGGTTGATATCTCAGTCGTTGTCGTCGAGTTCCACTAACGGCAGCCCCAAGAAGCGTGTGGGGTCGATCCACAGGGACAACGCCGTTAGGGTTGACGGGTTTTCCGGGTCTCCAAATCCTCCTGCCTTTATTTTTTTCACATTGCTATGTACATATCTACGCCCTTGCACGGTGCCCGATTTGCAAAGCTGTCCGATAGGAAAACCAGTGCGAGGACTCTGCAACACTTCGAGAATATCCTTATTCATCCTTATAAAATTCGCTGATGTTTGAAACCCTGTTGAAAAGTAAGTTGAATAAATAACCTACACCACGTAAATATTTTTTCTTTATTCCCAATTTGACCAACTTGACTGAAGTAGTAAAATACAGACATTTCGTTTTAGCCGCACCTTTCACGGAAAATTTGACTTTATTTTGGAACACATGTTGTAAACTTTAACGATTAATTTATTCGGATTTATCGAATTTCGTATTATAGATTGGCACGTACTGCAACACGACCTTCCAGTCTGTGAAGTAGAGTAGCGCAAGCCCCGCTGCGCCACCAAAACCAGCGGCCGACGAGACGCTGCAAAAAAACAGATAATTAAATATTAATCATTTCGCGATTAAAGCTAGTAACAAACTTTGAGATTTATTTGGAAATATATATCTCCATAAATCATATATACTTGGTTATGCAATGCAGATTGTTGCCCGCTTACTTAAGTGCGGACTAGATTTATTTTGGTTGGTATTTAATTGTGTATGAAACTTACAAAGATGTAGCTATTTCAGCATGTTTTTTGCCAAAAGGGATCCTCATTTTGTCTATCGGAAATACTACAATCCACCAATAAAATTAACCAAATTATGGAGGCAACAAAAATTTTCAACTAATCTCAAATTAGAGCTGGAAAACTATCGATGGCACTATCGATAGTATCGATGGTTTGTGACTATCGAAAACATCGATGGGTTTGTAAGCACTATCGATAGTTTTCACTACTTCACAGTGGCTACACACGACGAACATATCCACGCACATATGCGCCAACATGCTCGCTGTCGTTTGCTACAGACGACGAGCGGCTCATAAGTGATTTTGTACTCAAAGCATAAACATGGAAAGGAAAGACGCGGATGATGCAATTGCAATGCTTTTAACTTAACTTTTTTATATATGTGTTACTTAAATTTATTTATATTTTACTTGTATGTACGTACATACATATACTTATAGTAATTTAGCCTCGTTTATCAAAAATTCAATTAAATAACATGGCTTGGATGCATTTATCCGCCGATGTGCACACTTCAAGCATCAACACAAAATGAGGTTGTTGTTTTGGTTTTTAAAGCGATGCTCGCAAACCGCCCTACAAACGACGAACATGACCCGCAATTCCGCATGTAATCATAGTTCAGGATTTTTGCAGTGAAACTGTTAATAAACTTGATAAGACGATAAATTTATCGTTTTGATAAATGAACTGTCAAACCCAACTCCAGCTCCAGTAATCGACAAAATTCTGCGTATAAAACTGCGTTTAAGTATACGTTCTGCGTTATTGACTAAAGCTGAAATTAGTCAAGAACGTAAACCTACCGGTACGTAAACCCGAGTCAGCTGACACGATCTGTCTTACCAAAGCGTCATGTAATAGAAAACTCAATAACGCAGAATTTTTCTGTAGTTGTAGCCCGTAGCGCAGAAATCTGCGGAATTAAGATTTTTCCGTGTCAGCTGATTTCTCCTTCTTTAGATGGTTACCACTTCGTCAGTTTTACAGATGGTAAAAAAGATATAAGTTCCTATTCAAAATATGTTTAAAATATTTGAAATTTACTATTGAATAAGGTTTTTGTTGAAAACTAAGTAGTTTATATTTAGCTAAAATCTATTATAGCACGAAAAATTGTAGTTGAAAGGGTAAGTTTATGAAAAGGCATTGATGAGTGGCAACAGTGTAGTAAGCAACACTGAGGGCTCCAGTAATCGACAAAATTCTGCGTATACAGACTGCGTTTAAGCATACGTTCTGCGTTCTCGACTAATTTCAGCTTTAATCCGAAATGGTGTGTTAAAAATGATAAAATGTGACTTCCACTTCGATAAATAATCGAAAAAAAACTAGTGAAGACGCCGATTGAACGCCTGAAAGATGACAAATTTCGAACTGGTTTCAGGCTTTGTAGGCTTTACAGCGTCGTCAGTTTGAAGTTTATGCGAAGTTGTGCGAAGTATGCATAGTCAGACCATAACAGTTAACACATTCGAACATAAGTACTGGTGAATATGATTATGGCAATATTGTAATCGATATCACTTAAAATATTTTTAATGAATGCAACACAAAACTATTGCAATACAACGCAAAGAAAAATTATTTATTATATGAAAATGAATATGAAAGAGGTGGATAAAGTACTGAATAAATTAAAATGAAATGGCAAAAGTAGTATCAGTTTTATCGAACTAGCATTTTTAGTCGATATCTAATTTGTCGGAAAACTTACTCTACACCATTCTCTCATTTACGCTGCGTTTACATAAGACAATTCGAGACAAGACAATTGAGATATGTATTAGTTGTCAAATTGTTGTGTAAAGTATGCGTCCAGATAATTATAAAGACAATACATTTTTCAGCAACCGCTGTTAGTGTCGTTTGGCGTAAATTTTATATTATTTACTAAAATATCCAAACACAAACAACTTTTTCATAATTCTGCGATTTTTTGCGATTTTGCCTTGCCACTTTTTCTCAAATTAACCAAGACGTGACCGAATTGTCCAATTTACTGTCTTCGAAAAATCAATGACAGTGATGAAGACAATTGTCTTTGTGTGTATTAGTGAAATTGTGTGAATGTATTGCAAAAAGTGTCTCATGTAAACGCCGGGTTACTGCGCAATGTCAAAGGTTGCAAGTAACGTCAAGCGCATAAAATTTGTTGTGGAGTTGCTCACCTGAAAAGCATGAACGACCTCGAAAGCTGCAACGCCTGAAAAATCTTCTATGGAGCTTCAGCTTAAGAATTGGGCTGTATAAGTTCAAATTGCTAAATATTGCTTTTTAAATGCAGCAGAAGCGTTTTATTAGAATTTCTTTCAGTGTAATATTTGACACTGGAAACAGCTGATTTGTGACGCCAGTTTTGTGAATCATAACCCGTCTTCATTACAACAAATTACCATTGAATTGCGATAAAACAATTAACGTAGTACTATTAATTTTTGAGAAATTTTTATTGTAATCGCTTGTACTCGGAAGACAAAATGTTGACGACATTAACAAACTTCGAATGCGCTATCCTAGGCAGCGTGTTACCAGCGGCTTTTTTCTATCTGTGGACTTTAATTGCCTACGATTTTATTGTATGAAAACTGGTACTTTGTAAACGAATTACTAATTAGCATTAGTTATTTTAATAGAATTTCCCCGGGAGTCGCACAATGGCTACTCTGAGCTACACAGCCAAAGATATGGTGAATTGTTACCAAAATTATGCTGCACCTACAAATGGAGAGGTCAAAAAAGAGCAATAATTTGGCCTATTTTGTTCCTACTTGATATTTACCTATAGTATTTGAATTATATATGAACTAATTCGCTCGCATTTACAACGCTTATGAAATATATTGAGGCCTATTTTTGTAAGAAGCTAAATGATTGAGTTGTGTTTTACAAAGGTTCACTGATCAATAATNTTTGTTCCTACTTGATATTTACCTATAGTATTTGAATTATATATGAACTACTTCGCTCGCATTTACAACGCTTATGAAATATATTGAGGCCTATTTTTGTAAGAAGCTAAATGATTGATTGATTTATTGTGCCCGCTCTAAAATAGAATTTACTCATATTTTCTAGCGTGTACTATAAAAAAATTAAAATTGTTTTTTCCTAAAAGTTAGTTTATTTTTTTAATTTGATTTCTCTTATTTACAAATATGTATTTCGTATATGTTCAATTTTTAAAATTTCGTATAATTTTCAAGGAAATATATAGAATCATATAATAGATACACATAAAATTTTAATAACAAATGTATCATTAATTAATTCATTAAACATAAACATGAAAGAGTTAACCAGCAAAGAAATAGGCATCAAAACTAAATTTAATTGGGAAAAATTTATAAATATCAACATACAGATGTATGCGTGCTAATATCAAATTAATACATTTTTCCCCAATACGGAATGACCTTACACTTTTAGTACCAAAGTAATTAAAATTAACTCCGCTCAAAAACACAGATATCACGGTTATTGCTGAATCCGTTATGGGTTCATTTTCTTGAAATCCACATATACATGGCCAAAATAATAGAAACGCCTTTATTTGACCAGTTTTGGATATATTTCTTTTGTTTATTTAATATTTATTATTTTTTTTATAAAAGTGCAGCTCATGATCCAACAAAAACCATATAAATTTATATTTCCAACTTGTGCAGTTTCATCTAAATTTTAAACTTTTTAATTAGATTTTTTAGTATTTTTTTGAGAATGTATGCATTTTATAGCCATTTCTAGCGTTTCTATTACTTTGGCTAAGGCATATGGATATATTCGTATTAATTTGGATTCGACGATAGCCTTTTCATTGATACAAAAAAAAAATTAACACGATGGATTCGACAATAGCAATGAATGTGCATTAAACTGTTGATAATTTCCATACTTTTTCTTAGTCTAATTGCAATATATAATACATATACATATTTATATATATATATATACATATATATATATACATATAGTAAATCGAAGGCCATTATTAAATTGCCTCTATATGCAATTTTCACAAAAACNATATATATATATATATATATATATATATATATATATATATACATATAGTAAATCGAAGGCCATTATTAAATTGCCTCTATATGCAATTTTCACAAAAATACTTTCTAATATTAGTACCCATCTGTGACTGTCATTACTTTAAAATTTAATAGTAAATTCTTCTAACAAGCGATATACAAGGTCAGCATTAACATGACGGTTAAGTCTTAAAAAGACTTTTACATCAGAATCTCATATTTGCGAAAATTGCCGATAAAGGATATTACAGAGAACTTGTCGAAAAATAAATATAAGTTTTTAAATACACTTAAAATTCGTAAGCCGGCATCGTTTTGCATGCACGGAATCGTATGTATGTATGTATATGCTAAAAATTAAAATGAGATTAAACAAATATTTTCAAGACTTGATAAGACATTGTTTTCAGCAATGCTAATCCATTTTGCTTTCTTATTAGACGCGGCAACTACAATCGGGCTTATTAATACTTCGCTGTCGAGTTTGTAGGTTCTTTAACGCTGCTCCACCATATTGTATGCCACTCCCAATGCGTTCGGGATCTAGTTCACCACTTTCAATCTTTGCTAAAATTGTTTTTGAACATTTCAAAAAAGCCTCTTCTACATTTTCACCAGTTTTGGCGCTGGTCTCAAGGAATATGAGTTCTTGAAAAAAAAAGTAGATTCGATATAATGAATTCCAGAGCAGATATCGTAAATAGTTTTGTAAATTAATATTTCATACCATTTTCTTGTGCGAAGGTACTCGCTTCTAAGAATGTTACATCGCGTTCATCTTCTAAGTCCTTCTTGTTGCCTACCAATAGTATGACAATGTTTGGACTGGCTAATGTGCGTGCATCGTTCAACCAATTGCTGAGTGCATTGAAAGAATCACGGGATGTTGTGTCATAAACCAGCAAAGCTCCAGCAGCGCCACGATAATACGACCGTGTCACAGAGCGAAAGCGTTCCTGCCCAGCAGTGTCCCATATCTGCAACTTTACGGTTTTGCCGCCAACATTGACTATACGAGAGCCAAACTCTACACCAATCGTATGAGAGCTATCATCTTTAACTGGAATTTTTAGGTGAATAATAATAATTATGCAAAAGTGTATTTGATAATAATTAAATGTTTTAGCTGCAAATTATACAAATAGATGCAAATTTCCGTAGGTGTAAAATGAAGGTGGCATGTTTGTATTTAAGTTTTAGCTTGTGCAATATATTATTATTATTATTATTATAGTGTAGTTTTACACATGCATATATATGTACAGAGTAGGGAAGTTGCGAATGTGGAATTTTAGACATCCGCGGCTGCGAATGTGGATGCGCATAACTAACGGCTAACATGCGTATGTCAAGTATTTTCAAGAAACAATTAGAATCTAGCATAATGGCTAGATCGTTGTTTAAACAGCGCTTGCAAGCCAAAACCAATGTGTCCGATTTTTCTAAAGCTTTTTAAAAAGAATTCTTCATTCTCATTCCTGTGGCTGTTTCCGAGTTTGGGGAATCTGTAACTTCATCCGCGATTTTCGATTTTAGTTCTTGTAATTCATTTTCAATACTTTCTTCTGCGACTGGTTTGAAACATTTGTGCTTATAGCGAGATAAATAGGGGGATATGCAAAATAAGTTATTATTTTCCAGGATTGAAAATTTTGATGAATATTCTGTTTTCAAAGTCGTAGCTGCCAGCCGAATCGGATAGAATATTGTTATTTAAAAAAAATCCCGTTTTTTCATAAGAATTTGAATTATTGGAATTACGGATGATGAGGATCTCAGATAGTTACGTAATTCTTATCTAATTAAAAGTCAGACCTATAGCTTTTTAATTATTTGAGCATCGGTTCTCTTTATTGCCAGACATTGATCATTTCTGCTGGAAATCCCTATTGAAGGCGCTTACTCTTTGACTTTAAATAGCAAAAAAGGAAGACGTAGGCGGACAGTTTTACCACAGAAGTTTTTAGCCAAGGATCCAGTGTATATCCATATGAATAAATATTTTCCGACAAATATCAAAAACTACGCTTTTTAAAATTTTTGCTAGAAATAAATTCTCCAAAGAGGCCCATTTGAAATTATTGAAACTAATATATGTAACATCAAAAGCAAATCACGAAAATTTGGTTAAGAATTACAGTGCACACTTTCTTCTTCTGGGTATATACGTTTTTTTCTAAGATTGGTCCAAAAAAATTATAATAAAGAAAGAAACCAATGCAGGTATTTAAAGTACAGAAAAAAATATTATTAAAAGACTATGTTCTCTTTGACGTACCTCAAAGGTCAAGTAGAAGTGGAAACTTGTATGACTGCCCATTGATAGCTCGATTATATAGCTTACGAAGTAATAGGGCGATTCACCAAAACGCACAAATGCCTCGTAACCATGTAAACCTTGTAAACTTACTTAATTTTGTATGAAAAATTAATTATTTGCGAGGTTTACGCGGTTATGAGGGATTTACGCGTTTCCATGAATACCCATAATATGTTTAAAGACAGTTTTATCAAATATTAGATACAATTTGTCATTTTGTTTTCCAGATATACGTTTTATCGTTGCACTTGCACAACATTCGCATTCGCAAAAGCTCCGCATTGATTATTCCGAATGCGAATATTCGCAACAACCCTGGTACAGGGTACCATGCACACATCGCACTCTAAATCAAAAGCACGTCACAACTAAATAAATCTCAAATGTTCAGGAGGCAAAAAAACTGTTGACGCTGCGCTGGATATAACATTACACCATCGTAATCCTTGTTTAATTCTCCATAAAAAACCATGTTCCAATAAACTGGGAGTTTTTCAAGAACTATTTTTAAAATATTTTTTTTTTTATGACGAGGTGGTTTATTTTGTGAGAGTCAACAATGAAGTCTCTACGAGGAACAGAACCGAGATATAACAATTTGAAGAAGTACATGATTATTTAGTCAGAATCACGAAAAAATTTTACAGATTATATATCCGAAGAAAAAAGGAAAAATTTGAAGCCCGTCGAAATTCTGACACCAAATTTGGTGATCGATATGAAAAAGAATGCGTCATATATAGGGTATATATATTATAACATAGAATAATAGTTGTGTTAGAATTGCAATATATTATTTGATTATTTGCATTTTATAATTATTTTATGCCATTACAGTGTCTGAATGTCGTTTTATTTAAATTTGGTAGTAAATTAAATTATATCCCGGGATCCCGAGGGCCTTTTTTTCTAGCTCATCGAACCCTATTCTTTACTTTCACCAAAATCATAAGATATTTGTACTGACATTTTTGTGAATATTTTCTTTTTTGTGCCATAGACATATATGTATGTAATACTTCTATATTGGCAGTAAGCTAACTTCTCAATGTGTAAGCATTCCGAAATCAAAGCGAGACAGTCTAGTACCGTTTTTGTCAATGTATTGTGTACTTGAGTGCCGTTTTTATATATGTGTTGTGTACATGTGTATTTATAAACGTAAGTGTTCCTTTTCTTCGGTACTAGCTCTTACTGCCAATATAAGAGTATTACATATATGGCCATAGAAAAGATAAAAATTACTTAAAACTTCTAAAACAAAATCATTGTTCGCTTAATAGTGCACCCTTTTATATTTCACAGTTCAATTTAGGTTGAAAAGTATGCTCGGTAAAAATCTAAATTGTTCCTATTCACTGCATTACGACACTTTCCAGTGATTTTTCTCTATTTAGGTAGCAATTTGGACGTACTCGTACACAGCCTAATTAATGTATTTGTATTTTTTAATTTAAATTTTTTGAGCACATTGAACTTTGATGGATTTGGGCGAGCCTAAGATATTGACCAAAGATAGTCATCTGTCACACAGATTGTTTTTAGAGCATAGTGAACATAGTGTACATACATATATAAAATTTTGAACTATACGCTTGGAAAATTTTATTTCGTTCTTAGAAAATAATTTTTTTACTGCCTTATACTGAGTTTCGTCTGAAAAAAAATTTACCCGAAATTTGTCATGCGCCTATAGAAAACCATGGAAACCAAAAGTGAAAAATGAACCTGATTATACCAACGATCTAACATATCGCCCCGATTCTGCGTTATCCATGTATCTACCTTCTTATCTTCTTTTTTGGCGCTGTAACCGCCTAAGCGATTTTGGCCGTGTTCAGCAAAGCACGCCAGTCGTTTCTCCTCTGTGCCAACTGACGCCAATTGGAAACGCCAAGCGAAGCGAAGTCCTTCTCCACCTGATCTTTCCATCGCAGTGGGGGCCTCCCTCTTCCTCTGCTACCACCAGCGGGTTCCGAGTTGAATACTTTCAGAGCTGGAGCGTCGGTGTCCATTCGAACGACATGACCAAGCCAGCGGAGCCGCTGTATTTTAATTC